TAAATCACATGCATAATACTAATGATTATAATTATTAATAAAAACAATAAAAAACTAAAAACAACATTAAATGATGAGATTGTGAATCTTCAGTTGCGATTGACGGCTGTGCCCTCGTGATTGGATGACCTGTTGTAAAATGAGAAGGAAAGTTAGTAGGAGGATGTGAGGGATGATAGAAAGCGGTGTAAGGTTGTGCTGCAAGCGGAGGCGGGCCCGCGCTTGCTTGAGCTACTGGAGCTGCAGGCCACTGGAAGTGGGCGGGGTTGTAACCTGTTGGGTAGACCTGTTGTTGCTCTGCCTGTGGGTCGTTTTAGGAGTTGGATTTAAGGAGACGTATAAATCATACAGCTCCGCTTTATTCATTTTCCTTGGAACTTGTAGATCGGAGTTACCCAGCGCTTGCCTCAACCCAGCAACGGTCCATTTCCCGATGGGTGGGATCATCGGGACGGCCGAGCGGTAGGAGGAAGCTGGGGAAGAAGATGGAAGTCTTGCCGGAGGCGGCGAAGACTGGTCATGGCGTCTTGTTGAGCGCCGGGCTGATCGGGCCGGTGTGCGGCTGCGAGGAGATGCCGGGGGCTCAGGTGCACCGACCGGCGTAGAAGGGATGACCGTGGGACCAACGGAGTGAGAAGTTGCATCCGTGGTGAATTTTTCGTCGGAAGAGGAGCTTGTTGGAGACATGCTGCGAGTAGTTGACCGAAGCGGCGAATCTACTAAATGCTGCAAACTGTCAATGAATCGAGGTAAGACTGCTGAGTCTATTTGTACCCTCTCATCATTGATTGCTTATTGCTGTCCACTCGTGTTAATTATCTGAACGTGCTCCTCCCGAACTTAGTTAATAAAACTTCATGTGTTATGCCCTAAATTATTACATGATTAACTAAATGTATTTTTCCATGTACTTTTCTGTAATGCACTTTCTATAAATCTGCTTTGAAACAATATGTATTGTGAAAAAAGCGCTATAGAAATAAATTTGAATTGAATTGATTTGAATTGAAGTGTGATCTGGAAGTGTAATCTGGAAGTGTGATCTGGAAGTGTGATCTGGACTGAATGAACCAGATCTGTGATGGAGTTGTATTTATGTATTCTTATGTTGATTTATAATGCTTCTGTTAAGATTATTTTAATTCCTTTTATATGTAAAGCACTTTGAATTACCACTGTGTTTTGAATGTGCTATATTAATAATATTAATAATCTTGCCTTGCCCCAAACACAAACCTCACAGAACATTTCTGCAGTTTTATACTTTCAAAATACATAATTAAGTATGGTTTATAACCTGTTTTCCTCACAGGGACCAAAAAAAAAAATTCATCAAAAGATCATAATAAAGTACAGAAAACAGGTACATCATCATGAATAGATTGCAGAGGTGTAATGGGCTTACACTGAGATAATGATACTTTTTGCATTTTTTACAGTTTTAATAAAAATGCTTAGTATGTTTATTTAGTGATTTGAATTAAGAACACACACCACAATATGGCTCCTTATCTATCTATAAATTGAGGGAATGTCTGTCTGTCTATGTGTCTGTCCAGCCCAAGGGGGTAATCCATCGACCGGAAGTTGAAGCCTCGCGGGAGCTGACATCTTGTAGCAGAACTTCACTTGCGTTAGCATTCCCATTGAGTTCCATTCATTTTGGCATCACTTTGACAGCGAATGACTTTACATCTGAGGCGTTTGAAGACCCCATTTGTCCTTTATTTATTTCTAAAGAAACACGACAATGTATAAATAGCTCCATTACCTTGTAGCTTATGTTATGGCCCCGTAGAAGCAGTTTTAGTGAAAGTAGGCTAACGATTGCGTCATACCCACGCGACTGTCTGTCGCACGTAGAGAGATTACCGTATGGACATGAGAAGAAGCTCGCGCGCAATCGGGGAAACGTGGAGGCAAAATGACAAAATAATTAATCAGAATACCTAGCAAAATTGTCTCCTTCTTCTAGCTCATGGACAGCTCCTATTCACACTCTCTGCCTCTGCATGTTTTGGAAGGGAATGATTCAGATTTCTCATGCCACAGCAGAAGACAGATGGGTCACTCACGTCCCACTACGTAGTCAAGCTCTGTATGAGTCTGCACGTCAGGGACGGAAGTGCTAAAAAATCGGCAAAAACGGGCTTCAATCATCTCAATGGAGTTCCAATGAGATCGCTCTGTCCATTTCTTTTACTGTCTAAAATGCGTTGGTCTGTCTGTGTCTCTGACTGTTAATCGCATATCTCTTGAACCATTAGTCCGATGGATCTCAAACTTCACAAGTGTCTTGCTACGGGCACGAGTAAGTGCAATGCCGAATTTGAAGTTATTTGGATTAGAAATGCAAAAGATATCGCTAAATATATCGCTAAAAGAAGCACACGTTGGCTTTTGCCACTCTAGCCGCTGGCCAATCCCCCTCTCACACTGCACACTGACTGAGCACAGCGCAGGACCAGAGACAGAGGGACGAAGAAAACAGATTTGCTCCCTGCTGAATCGTCGCGCTTATTCATTTGAGCACTCAAACACACCAAACCAAGTTAACAATTGCTAAAAACACATGGGCACACGGTTAGCGCAGGACCAGAGACAGAGGGACGAAGAAAGCAGATTTCCTCCCTGAATCATCACGCATTCATTTGAGCACTCAAACACACCAAACCAACAATTGCTAAAAACACATAAAAATTTATTTTGCATGGGCACTTTGCACTAGTAATGTAAACACACACACTAACACGTCTATTTAATGCCAAGCACACATCATTAAAGATTAATGCATAATAATGAAAGGTTTTTAGTGTTTTAACCTCCTAGAGCATTTAATCACAGTTCACTTTAAAGCCACTAAAAGCCCAGCACCAATTCTAGAACACACTGTTCATCTGCTCCTTTAATGTAATCCTCTTCACAACAGTACTACACACACACACACACACACAGCTCTTGACGTCTCTATCCTTGGTGAATGAACTGAACTATAGAGTGCTTGGACCTCGAGAGAACACGTTCCCGGAGAGAGAATAGATCAAGCCCCACTACACTGTGTTTGTTCACACTTGCTCCCAATCCGGATTAATTCCCCAAATCCGATTTGAGGCCTGGCACTCTGAACTGCTTGGATCAAACTTTTGTATTAGGAAACTTTACCCTTCACACCGACTTAGAGGTGGACACTTCTTTCTTCTTACAGAAGAGGAACACAAAACATGTACTCCCTTACACACACACACACACACACACACACTCATGCCTTGCTTTCTCATTAACTGGTGTATTTTCTTCTCCATGGGGTTTTTAGTACTGAAAAAAAAGAGAGAATTGAAACTCTTTGGATTATTATGGATCGAAACGGAACGGAACGGACTGAAGCTCATTATGGACTAAATGACCACTTCATGTTTAAGAAGATTAAGAGTCAGTGTATGACTCGTTACAGTGGACAAGACTAAACTAAATGTTAATAAATATTCTGGTGTATGTTCATCGCCACTAGCAGGAAAGAGAACCGTTTAATAACAAGAAACCTTTTAATAAAAACAGAACAAAGACACATTTTGCTTCACGCTGTTTCTGCGGGGGTTGAAATCTGACAGGAAACGCTTGATCACACATGATTAAAACACTTCATGATGTGTGTATCACGGGTGTGTATGACGTGTGTATGGATTCAGGCCGCGACAGGAGCAAACACAATAAAGTCCAGAATACCTGTATTGTATTTTTTTAATAACATGTTTCAATATTGCAACAGCATCTGTTCTTCTAACAGGTAAAAATCATTAAAAATACTAAAAGAAAAAGAGAGAAAAAAAAAAAGAAAAATAAAGACTTGATTATTACACATAACTTTTCTTCAAAACTCGCCTAATTCATACAAGAAGTCATTTTAACACAGTGAGAGGATCTCATTCAACACATTATTATTCAAACAAATTATAAAAATAGATTGCCTTTTCAAATACATATTTACAGTATCAAACAGAGATCAGAATGATACACTCAATGCAAAGGGGACTCGAGTCTGATTAAACTACAGTACAGCATGTCTTTGTCCTTTAGAAGCTATTATTAATTCTGTGACTCCGCCACCAGATATGATACAGACGCAATAATGATGAATATGCATGTCTGTAAAACCCCAAAACGCTTCAATTGTTTATATCCTTGAAATCAAGAACAACCCAATACAGTGTGAGAAACAAAATCCCATCATTTGTTTTGTACTGTGTGTATTTATCATGTGTGTTAAACTCTTCATTAATGTGATTTGCATCGACGTGTTTCTATGATCAAACTGCGAATGTTCTGAATCAGGGTTTTACTCAATACTGCTTAAACACAAGTCTTGGTCACACACTCACATCACACAGTAAATCTAAATTCAATTACGCTAGAACATTCAGAACATTCCTGAAGAACAACAACCACTTCCTCTGTAGAAAACAGCAACATTAAGTGCTAAACACACACACACACACACACACAACTGAGAGAATCAGACAACTGCCGTCACAGCGGGAAAATAAAGTCTGTAAGTGTGTTTACATCCCCATCACACACACTCACTCGCTCACACAATCACTCAGTCGCTCATTCACACATTAACTCACTCACACAATCAATCATTCTCTCTCTCTCTCTCACACACACACACACACACACTCTCACTCTCATAATCACTTTCACTCACTCTCACAATCACTCACTCACTCACTCCAACTCTCTAACTCACTCACTCAATCTCACTCACTCACTCACTCAATCACTCAACTCACTCACTCTAGCTCACTCACTCTTATTATCACTTTCACTCACTCTCACAATCACTCACTCACTCTACTCACTCACTCAAACTCACTCACTCCAACTCACTCTACTCACTCATTCTACTCACTCACTCACTCTACTCACTCACTCAAACTCACTCACTCACTCTAACTCACTCACTCATTCTACTCACTCACTCACTCTAACTCACTCACTCATTCTAACTCACTCATTTACTCTAACTCACTCTAACTCACTCTAACTCACTCACTCCAACTCCCTCTAACTCACAAAGAGCATGCTTAAATGACACAAACAACAATTTCAAACAAGAGCATTTTGATGACATGACAGCTGAGCGTCCAGATTCAGTGCTGTGTGTTCCATTTTCAAACATAATATTTTTGCATTCAAAAACTAAGCTCCAATAAGCTTCAGTAAACAGATAAATAACTCATCATCTAATAAATATGATAAAAGTTTCTGTACGTCATGGATGCTGCAGTGCAAACATTGTCTCTATAGTAGACAGAAGGAGAAAACATAACAAGTACAGATGTCCAACAATAATAATTTAAACTCAGAAATTTCCTTCCGAAATATGGAAGCCCATTCGCGCAATGTAAGAAAAAGAAATCATGCATGTCATAATTTTAGTCATAATTTCATTGTCATTTTAGTCATAATTTCAACTTTACATCTCATAATTATGACTTGTATATAGGATGTCATAATTTTGACTGTAATAATTATGAAAATTATTTTAAAATGAAATTATGACAGTAATAATAATGACTTTTTATGTCATAATTTCATATTTTCATGTCAGTTTCAACTTAGTATGTCAATTTAGTCAATTTCAACCTTTTGTCTTGTATTTTTTAACTTTATAACTTTGTCAATTTTCATCTCATTGAAAAATGTAAAAACTATGACATAAAAGTCATAATTATGACACAAAATTGTAATTATGACATACTAGGTCATAATTATGATATACGAAATATGGAATAAAAACAAATTCTAAATTATGACTGTCAAGTTAATTTCATCTTGTCATAATTTCGACTTAGTATGTCACTTTTTGCTTTTTTTGTCATGTCTTTCTGAGATGAAAAGTCAAAAAAATGATATAGTACATCATCATTTCAACATAATGTCATAGTAAAGGTTTACAAGAGGATGATTTGTTTTCTTATGCGGTGAAACTGGGCTTCTATACAGAAATGCGTATAAAGTGTGGAGAAAGAAAGCCAAAAGAAAAAAGTAGACAGTAATCAAGTCAGGGAAAGACAGAAAAAGGGATTTACATGTTATTAAGATTTCTTACAGCAGAACTCAACTTATTTCCTGAAGACACGGCGAGATCTTCTCCCGCTCGGAGCAGCAAAAGCTCCGGTTCTGTCCACATTAGAGGAGGATCAGTGGCTTGAACCTCGAGTTGTTCCTCTTGGATAAAGAAACAGGCCCTTGAGAGTCAGATAAGCTTCTCCAGGACAGAGACGAGGCTCTCGGCCAACGTTGAGGAACAGCACAGGTTATTCTAGAGGAATCGTCTGGCTCGTGACATCGTCTCCTCAGTAAAGATGCAGTGTTCAGCCACGAGACGATAAAGGAGAAAAGGAAGAGTAGGAAGAGAAGTGAGGGTTATCATCTCCTGCTGTCTGCTGAAGGGCTTCTGGGTAATGGTGAGAACATCTGTCTGTCTGTCAGACCTGAACCCCTCGTCCGTGCATCTGGATCACCTGAGCTCTCAGAGTCTGGATGGCAGACAGGATCAGTTTCTGGTGCTCCAGAGAGGTGATGCCGAGACTCAACACATCCCTGCAGAAACAACAGAGCCCGTCACACACACTTTCTCGTTCGCTCGCTCGCTCACACACACAACTAACACACTCACTCACTCACTCACTGATTCGACACAGGACACTCACTGAACGGTCATGCGCGCCACAGACTCCAGGTAACAGTATCCAGCTGCAGTGAAATTGTCTTTATAGCGGCCCATGTCTACAGCCTCAAGCCACTCGCCCACCGAACTGAAGGAGGGAAAGGAGGGAAGTGTTCGGTCCGTTAGCGATACAGACGAGCCTAGCGTCCTGCAGAGAGAGAGAGAGAGATTTTCACATCTGTGGTCAGGTAAGGTAAACAGGATATCACATTCAGATTAATCTAAAAGAAGGTTTAGATGGTTATGTTTAGGTCCCCGTATGATCTGGAGAGGTATGGTAAGAGGAGGTGCAGGAGACGGGAGAACCGTATGATCCGGTGAGGAATGGGAAGAGGAGGTGCAGGAGATGGGTGAACTGTATGATCCTGTGAGGAATGGGAAGAGGAGGTGCAGGAGACGGGAGAACAGTATGATCCGGTGAAGAACGGGAATATGTGGTGCAGGAGACAGGAGAACTGTATGATCCGGTGAGGAATGGGAAGAGGAGGTGCAAGAGAAAGGAGAACCGTATGATCCGGTGAAGAATGGGAAGAGGAGGTGCAGGAGACAGGAGAACCGTATGATCTGGTGAGGAAAGGGAAGAGGAGGTGCAGGAGGAGACGAGAGAAACGTATGATCCGGTGAGGAATGGGAAGAGGAGGCGCAGGAGATGGGAGAACCGTATGAACCGGTGAGATATGGGAAGAGGAGGTGCAGGAGATGGGAGAACCGTATGATCCGGTGAAGAATGGGAAGAGGAGGTGCAGGAGACGGGAGAACCGTATGAACCGGTGAGATATGGGAAAAGGAGGTGCAGGAGACGCGAGAACTGTATGAACTGGTGAGATATGGGAAGAGGAGGTGCAGGAGACGGGAGAACCGTATGAACCGGTGAGATATGGGAAGAGGAGGTGCAGGGGACGGGAGAACCATATGATCCGGTGAAGAACGGGAAGAGGAGGTGCAGGAGATGGGAGAACCGTATGATCCTGTGAAGAAAGGGAAGAGGAGGTGCAGGAGATGAGAGAACCGTATGATCCGGTGAGGTATGGGAAGAGGAGGTGCAGGAGATGGAAGAACAGTATGATCCATTGAAGAACGAGAAGAGGAGGTGCAGGAGATGGGATAACCGTGTGAACTGGTGAGAAATAAGAAGAGGAGGTGCAAGAGACGGGAGAACCATATGATCCGGTGAGGAATGGGAAGAGGAGGAGCAGGAATCGGGAGAACCGTATGATCTGGTGAGGAATGGGAATAGGAGGTGCAGGAGGAGATGAGAGAAACGTATGATCCGGTGAGGAATGGGAAGAGGAGGTGCAGGAGACGGGAGAACTGTATGATCTGGTGAGGAATGGGAAGAGGAGGTGCAAGAGACGGGAGAACCGTATGATCCGGATTGAAAAATGGGAAGAGGAGAAGCAGGAGTCGGGAGAACCGTATGATCCGGTGAGGAATGGGAATAGGAGGTGCAGGAGGAGACGAGAGAAACATATGATCCAGTGAGGAATGGGAAGATGAGTTGCAGGAGATGGGAGAACCGTATGAACCAGTGAATAACGGGAAGAGGAGGAGCAGGAGACGAGAGAACCGTATGATCCGGTGAGGAATGGGAAGAGGAGGTGCAGTAGATGAGAGAATTTTATGAACCAGTGAAGAACAGGAAGTGGAGCAGGAATCGGGAGAACCATATGATCTGGTGAGGAATGGGAATAGGAGGTGCAGGAGGAGACGAGAGAAACGTATGATCTGGTGAGGAATGGGAATAGGAGGTGCAGGAGGAGACGAGAGAAACGTATGATCCGGTGAGGAATGGGAAGAGGAGGTGCAGGAGACGGGAGAACCGTATGAACCTGTGAGATATAGGAAGAGGAGGTGCAGGAGACGGGAGAACTGTATGAACTGGTGAGATATGGGAAGAGGAGGTGCAGGAGATGGGAGAACCGCATGATCCGGTGAAGAACGGGAAGAGGAGGAGTAGGAATCAGGAGAACCGTATGATCCAGTGAAGAACCGTATGATCCAGTGAAGAATGGGAAGAGGAGGTGCAGGAAACGAGAGAAACGTATGATCCGGTGAGGATTGGGAAGAGGAGGTGCAGGAGACGAGAAAACCGTATGATCCAGTGAAGAACGGGAAGAGGAGGTGCAGGAGATGAGAGAAACGTATGATCCAGTGAGGGAAGAGGAGGTGCAGGAGACAAGAGAACCGTATGATCCAGTGAAGAACAGGAAGAGGAGGTGCAGGAGATGAGAGTAACGTATGATCCGGTGAGGATTGGGAAGAGGAGGTGCAGGAGACAAGAGAACCATATGATCCAGTGAAGAACGGGAAGAGGAGGTGCGGACACGAGAGAAACGTATGATCTGGTGAAGAACGGGAAGAGGAAGAGCAGGAGACGGGATAACCGTATGATCCAGTGAGGAATGTCGAGGAGTTGGACAGTACCTGCGTCCCAGGCTGGAGGATCCGATGCTGTCGGGACTCCTGATGCTCTTGCTGAGAGCGCTGTGGATCTGAGTGAAGCTCGGCCTCTCCGTTCTCTCCTTCTGCCAGCAGTCCAGCATGAGCTGATGAAGAGAGCCGGGACAGTTCACCGGTGCAGGCAGCCGGAAGCCATCCTCGATCGCCTTTATTACCTGTGATCCACACACACACACACAAAAAACAGAACAACTGAATATTGAGAATTGGGAGAACACAGACCCAGTGCAGAATCTTATTTCTTCTTCACTTTACATCATAACATTTCATTATTTTAAATGTTTTTTTTTTGTTTGTTTGTTTATGCCAGTTTTAAAATAGATTTTCAATCCTAGTTTTTCAGTGCAACTTTTGGACTCACTGTATACATCTTACAAATTATTAGTTATTATTAGTTATTATTACTCATACACTCACTCACTCGCTCGCTCACTCACTCTTTATTAGACATACTGAATATCATAAAAGCACTGCTTAAACTCACTTACAAAGACAACACACACATTATCCACACCACATGCATAAAAAAAAACGAAAGGTTCTTGCTCTGGACGCATTAATGCCTTTGTCTTTCCCGGCGATCATCCATTCAGACATAAACATGCAGAAAGCCTCAAGAGCTTTACTCTCCTCTTTTGTGTTTAAAACATTTACGTTGTGAGGCTCGTTAAATCACAATGAGTTCATAGTTCGAAATGTGTTTTGTCTCACAGCAGAGAAACAGCTTTGGCCCTCTGGTCATATTAGATTATCACACACCTTTTATTAATTTCAGATCTGAAAATAAAAAATAAACTGAATTTTTTTATTTATAAAATACAAATGTAACTAAATGAAAAAAATGAGTAAATAAAAACATAAATAAAAATAAAATATAAGGAAATAAATAAAAATAAATAAAATAAAAGTAGCTTTTGTTTTACACTTATGTTATTCATGCGTTTCATTTTTCTGATGCTGTTTCTTTACATTTTGAGAGACTTTATTACTGGGGTGTGATGTATTTTAGGGTTTATTTTAGACTCAGACTCTCAGGATCTTTGCTCCAGCCGTGAAAAAGAGGCCAGTCAGGACACACGCCGAGCCACTTCTGAGTCTGATCGGTCACGGAGCTGAAGTGGACTTGAAGTCAAAGTGTGTGTGTGCACACACACACTAACACACACAAGCGCACACACACTTTATCTGAGGTCTTTAAAGGCCCTCCACTTTAGCTACTTTTACATTTTCATACAAATGCATAACTCTTAACTTCACACAACAAAATCCCATCTGGCCAACAGAGAGAGGCAGGAGAGAAAGAGAAAGAAAAGAGAAAGAAAGAGAGAGAGAGAGAGAGAGAGAGAGAGAGAGAGAGAGAGAGAGAGAGAGAGAGAGAGAGAGGCAGGAGAGAAAGAGAAAGAGAAAGAAAAAAGAGAGAGAGAGACTTTAATTTTGACTTTTAAATTACATTTTATTTTACATGAAATACTTAAAATACTCAATTCTTCTTTAAAAGAAAACCTTCCAACTCAAAAAAATGGAAGAATAATATATATATATATATATATATATATATATATATATATATGTATTTCAATTTTTTATGCAACTCCAAAGCTTATCTTAACCTTGCCCTTCATCGGGCTTACACAACAGGCCTTCTGTTCCCCACATCAAAAAAAAAAAAAATTCTCAATATCATTTACCATTTAATAGTAAGCAAACTCCAGCATCAAACGTCCCATTACCAACCCTTTAAGCATAAGCACCGGATCTACTCCTCTTAAATTAAGAGTCTTATTTTTTCTAGTTAACCAAATTGCCATCTTCGCTTTGCCAAAAATAAAATTCAATAATACTATTTTTTGTTTATTTTTAGCACTATATTTTGGCCCAAATATAAATAAACCATTAGTAAACAAAAAATCTAAACTCTGACATACATCTTTTAACAAACAAAAAAGTTTCTTTTAATCTTGAACATTCAACAAAAAGGTGATTAACTGTTTCAGATTCCCCACAAAAACTACAATCAACACTATGTAAAGGATCCAGATGTGCTTTGTATCTGTTTGTGGCTATTCCCCAATGTACAATCCGCCACTGTAAGTCACCTAGTCTTTTTTCGATGGGCTTCTTATACAGGGACCTCCAACTACTTCTCGGGAGAGCCTGGCTCAAGAACTCCAGTCCATTTTGACTCCATCACTCTGTCCAGAGCCCTTAAGTTAAGAACTTTAACACAAATGAGATACAGGGCTTTCTTAGAAAGAAGTTCAAACTTTCCAAGCTCAGGTGTTCAAAAAGTCAGTAAACTTCCTTCAGTCTCCTCCCAATCTCCCACTTCAGCAGTCACACGTAATTCAGGGAACAGTCCATCAAAACTCTCCAGGTGTAATGATTGAAGACTAAAAAGATTCTTTATCTCTTCCAGCAGTCTTTGGAGAATTCGAAGAGACCGGATGTCTGTTTTAAGATGCAGCTCTTCCGCTGTAATCCACTGGTTGCCATCTTTTAAATGTCCAATTTTACATATGCCGGCTTTTATCAGATTCGTGTGTAGAGTACCTGCATTAAGAAACTCAATAGACAACAGTCCATTAAAAAATAAAGGCTCTTCCAGGTCCCAGACATTTACTCTTCCCACAGACATAAACTGCCACACTTGTAAAGCAGAAGCATAAAAAGGTGTAAGTCCATTAAGGTCCTTCTTTAAGTCCATTAAAAACAGATGTCGGTCAAGACCCAGACAGCCAACCCTCTTCAAGAGGGCACACGCCACTTCCATCCAGTTCTGGTCTCGATGATACAGAAACCTCTGGACGGTCTTTAGATGAAATGCCGCATACCTGGACTTAAGTTCGATTAAGCCTTGAACTCCTTCCTGGACTGGTAGATACAATATAGCTTCTTTCAGCCAGTGCCTTCCAGACCAGAAAAAATTAACAAGAAGTCTCTGAATATCCACAAAAAAATCCATTGGTGGGTCCAAAACATTAAGCCTGTGCCACAGGGTGGATGCCACTAGATTGTTAATCACCAGCACTCTTCCCCTGTATGCCAGCTGAGATAGCAACCAGCTCCATTACACGATCAAATGCCTTCTCTTGGTCTAATGATAGAAGGCATAGATTGATTCCATTTAGTTTACAACAATCTAGTAAATCTCTAATAGGGGTGTGCAAAAAAATCGATTCACATTTGAATCGCGATTCAATCTTTACCGATTCAGAATCGATTCACAGAATTCCAAAAATCGATTCATAGGCTATATTTTTTAATGGCGTGCAGGGGCGGAGTGGCAATCGGGTAAGTCGGGACTTTTACCGGTGGTCCGGTAGTGTTTCTATGGTTTCGAGGCTGCGAGGGCCGGTCTGATAAATAGTTATTGCAAGTTCTTGCCGCCCGCTGGTCAAACTGTGCCGCCACTCTGCTCAACCCATAAATAAATGCATCGATCCGCAGATCTTATGTTTGAGTTCTGTAGATCTTTTGCCAAGCGTGTCAGAGGTTATGGGTTACAAACCGCACTCGTATAGTTTTTTCTCTCTCTCATCAAAACCAAATATGTTCATCACGTTTGTGTGCATTTTATTTTGTGATTTCACCGGAGTCTCCACAACGGCGATAGATTGAAGCGCGCGTCCGAGAGAAGACTGCGCGAGCCACAGAGAACACTGTATATCCATGACACTGATTGCAGCGGACACGAGCGCTCAGCTTGATTTCAAAAACAACAGGTCTCTTATTTAATAGCGAACTAAATGAATTCTCTGCTAGTTAACTGGAGATACCCGCAAATTACGCGCCTATGAACGACTTCACTGGATCTAAACAAATCAATCTAACCATAGATGTTACCAGTAGCGGTGGCTTTTTAAAATCTATTTAAAATATTTTCGCAAGGGTTCTATGAAATTAGTATATATTTTTAGGAAGTTCAATGTGCCCAGTCGAGTTCACATTTCAACAGTCAACCTGGTAGCTGAAGTAGGCCTACTCCTTAAACCACATTTAGCATAATTGTTTGTTTGATCTGACTACAGCACTTTAAAGCTAAATGTAAAAGCTTTTTATTTAAGTTTTATTTTAAACTTGAATTAAATGTATTTAAAAGCTGGCCAAAGCTTGGCACTTCGCACTTTTTAGTTGCAAAAGTTTTTATTTTTGTATGAACACATATAAAGTAATATCAAACTTTTCTTTTAAATTATGTCTACTGCAATCAATCACATAGGAAAAAGTAAACTACATTTATGTAGACCTGCGAATCGTTTTTTGAATCGAGAATCGTTTTTGAATCGAAAATCGATATTGAATCGAATCTCGAGACAAAAAATCGGAATCGAATCGAATCGTGACATTTTCTGAATCGTGCACCCCTAATCTCTAACCAGAAATATATTATCATAAATAGTTCTATCTGGGATACAATATGATTGATCCTTATGAATAATATCACTCAAAACACACTTCAACCTGTTCACCAAAACTTTTGCCAATATTTTATAGTCATTAGTGAGAGTAGAAACAGGTCTCCAGTTCTTTAAGAGACTAATGACTCCTTTTTTAGGATTAAGAGCAAGGACAGCCCTCTGACAGCTCTTAGGACGTTTTTTTCTTCATAACATTTCTGTACAACCTCGTAAAAGTCTTCACCTATAATTCCCCACATGACTTTATAGAATTCCACCAGCAGACCATCAATACCTGGTGCACGACCGGGCTTCATCTGTTGCACAGCTTCAGTCAGTTCTTGAAAAGAAAAAATACTGTCCAAACTTGCACGTTGTAGAGAATTGAGGCGAATCAAACACAACTTGATCAAATTAATCTCTCATGGGATTAATTCACATGGATTCAACACTCCAAAGGTTCTGGACACCACATTCCAAAGTCCCAAGGCGGCTCCATGCTGTCTGCAGAGAAGGACTTTTATTGCCCCGCAGGCCCAAGAGATGGGCACTAAACAGGAAGAACGTGTCAATATGTCAATGGTTTTACCAAGACAAATCGGCTCAGAAATGGTGGAACAAGAGGCCTGACCACCAAAAGCCGACCACCTTTGACCTCTCTCAGCATCAGCACTGTTGAGCGGGACAAAGACATAACACAGACCCCTACTCCTTGAACATACCACGACCTCACTGTTGAGATCTCTCTAAGATCTCAC